TTCACCTGGGCAACCGTTTTGGTAAGTGGAGTCCAGTAGTCTTTTCAAGAAAATCACATGGCATAGAGAAGATTAGAGAATAATGTTAGAGACTACAATGAAGAAAACATCTGAATCCGTGTTCTACCAATGACGGAACTGCTTTTTTTACGGTGTCTTCCGGAACAGCCTGAGTGGCTCAAATCGCGGACTGGAAAAGAAGACATCACCGCTGCGCCAATCCGACCGTGTTCGCACTGGGCTCTCCGGACCCAGTCAAAGGTGTCTACCAAGCTTTGTGGCAGCAAACCTTCCACTGGCCTGGCGTGGCCAAATCGGACACGTCCGAAATCGGACCGGACCTGTCTGATCTTCCAGATGCACTGAGAAAAACCTTGCCGAACTTATATATGATTTGCATTGATTTGGTTGGAGACCGGTCTAGCGATCTATATCTCAGATTTATCAGCCTGTGAAAGAGTACAACCCGCCGAGCCGAGAGGGATCGATCCCAGCAGGTCTTCACGGCTAGCGACCGCGGTCACCGCTTAATGGGCTGTGCCAGTTGCGGTGCAAGGGACCCCGGCCTATATTCGACTTCAGAGTACCCATCCAGGAAAACCCCACTTTTGTTTCTCCTTGAAATCAAGGACTATGGGGGGTCATATGGAGGTCATATGAACGTGAAAGTGTCGTTCCAATCTCAAGTCTGAGATCCTGCAAGCCCTGACCATGACATCATAGTCCTCCACTTCGACCAGGTGTTCAGCTAGTTCTCCACTTCAGCTACTTCTCCACTGCTCTCGGATCCCCCTCCATCCAACTCCTCCGCTCCCGTTGCTCAGCTGCTCAGCTCGCTCTTTTGGTCCTTCCTTCGGTGTCATGAGCCCTTCGCCTGCGCCGGCATCCAGGCCGTGGTTGTAGGTAAGCTAGAGCCAACAGGTGTCCCGAATGTATCAATGGTCTGGGGTGACCCACAAAGAATGATTGAACGGCCACTCCATACAGTACATGTGTAAAAAGAGTTGACGGTTCAATCGATCATTACATGGTTGCTACACGGTTGACTGGCAAGTTCTCATAAAACTCGAGACGTCCAAGCTTGCTAGATTTGTTTCAATCAATCATTTCAAGAAATCTGGACATAGAGTATGGCGCTGGGAAAAGCAAAGTGATGTGTTCATCCAGGAATCTCTTTTCAGGTTTCTGAATTTGGTCTTAGAACTTTTCAGAGCCACGTACCCAAGGTCTTGTTGTAAAAAAGCCTCATAGAGGCCTCTTCAACGCAATCATCCGAAACAACATAGGGGCAAGGATCAAGCTTCGAACAGAACTTTCTATACCACACTATTCATACTCTAGCCCTTAGTCTTCATAGCTGCCATGGTATTCAGATAGATCTCCCTCTTCTAAACGATCTTTCTGGCTAGCGATCGCCCACGCCGGTCGGGGCCGGTCATCTTCTCGCCTCCCAGCGTTGGACGTAGGCCTCGTCGTCGCCTGGGAGGTCTATGAGGAGCAAGAATGGTTGTTTCATGCCTCATATATGACTCATATATGACCATATATATATATATGACTTGACTCATATATGACCGATATGACCATGCATGGGGTTCAAAGAGCATTCCAGGAGTTTTGGGAGCAATTCTAATGTCAGATCACTGGTCAAACTCTGTGAAAGCCACATGTGACGTACTCTAGAGGTTTCCTGGAAGCAAGGGAATCTCGTTCAATTATATAGATTGTTTCTATCTCCAACCCTCCAGCCACGAGCTGATGTTTTCTCACAATGTGTCACCGTGTTGCTCACTTCTGCTGTGAACCCATCTAAGTCAACAATGCCTGAAAAGCTAACAACCGGGTAGACTGGGTATCCATTGGACACACCGCAACCGGCTGGCTTTCAGATGCCTTCAGGTACCAACATGTTCCTTCTTGAAGCCTGGTTCAACCTGCCCTGCACTAAGGTGGGTGTGTAGCTCAAGACATGGCGTTCGGTCTCCTCCCTCCCCAGCGTTCCGACCGGGAGACCCCTCACAACGGACCCGAAACCACGCGTTTTGCGCGACCTGTCAACGATGCACTGCTTGGGGCCCCGCTGTCAAGTGACTCGCCATCCAGTTCGGGGTTGAAGGCCTGACGTGGACGTGGGGATCGGCGGAATCCCGTGAGGAACGGATGGAGAAATTCAAAAGACCATGAATAGGAATGGTTACAAAATCTATGGTTGAAAATCTATGCTTTTAGGATGCTTTAGGATGGTCATGGTTCTATTGATAACCATTAAATATATATATATATGGTTCTATACAGTAGGATGTTAGAGGAAACTATTGGAGATGGTCATGGTCGATAGCCCCCCCTATTACGCCCTTATACGCCCTTCACAGGCTAAAGGAACCCTCTCGGGGGGCCGACCCACACCCATTTGGTCAAATCTTCGAATGACCTCAACGATTGGGTAAAGCAATCGGGGAAAGAAAGGTGTGATGTGTGATTAGCAATTTTTAATAGTACTAGGAGCGGTCGGACGAAACGAACGGGGCTCCTGGCCTTACTACTAGTAACAACAAGCTACGAACGGGGCTCCTGGCATCGCTACTAGGAACAAGGACGCTATTAGGGGCTCCTCGCCATGAAGTGGACTTTTAGGTTCAAGCTAGCATTGGGGTCAAGCGAAAACGCTAGCTGTTCTTCGCCCCAGTGTCCTGATGATCATTCCGAGACGGAACCTGAAAGACGTGAAAAAAGCACCAACCAGGTATGATCATCCCTTTTGCAAATAGAGTATGGGAAAGTTTCAACTCACATACCACCAATTGAAAAAAGACTTGCTCTTCAGGTATGGTAGGGCATGGATGGGCATGGTAGGAAGGTCACATATTCCACTCATTTGAGGTCTTGTAACCATTCACTTCGAAGTGCTTTTTCCTGATGATTTGATCCTCCAAGACTGAAGTCTGGGGTATGCGTCCGAAACCTTCGGCAGTCACAGTCACATGTTCTGGACAAACATCGAGCCGACCAATCAACAATGCAAGCAACAACATCGATGATCATAGTTAATAAGAACCAAACCCAACCCAACCCAACCAACCAAGCAACTCCAACCAACTCCAACCAAACCCAACCAAACTCAACCCAACCCAACCTCCCTCCACCTCCCGTCGCCGTCGCTCCGCCTCCATGGGGTCCATGGTGACACTCTTCGCGTTTCGAGCGGCCGCACGGGCACGAGTCTCTTGAACCTCGCCAACCGGGCGGAGCGCACGGAACGGACGGCCACCATGGACGCTTCGTATGGCCTTTGGGTCGAATTCAGGGAGCCTCGCGTGCAAACGAATTGAGAGGGTGGGAAAAGCACCACGGAAACCATGGAAAAAAGAACGTGTTTTTAAACACGATGCACAATGGCTGTTTCTTAGATCGATCATTGGCAACATGACAGACAACAACTGGTAGTTGGTGCGCAGAACCATTCGTTTACTTTGTCTGCAAGAACCATCTTCTGATCATCCCTGAACAAGACAAAGGGGAAACAGCAGGTTTCTTATGGTTTCATTGTATCAAAGATTGTCACACAACATTGGTAATCACAACAGCAGCTGCCCCGCCCTCTGTCCTTCCTTTTGTTCGTTACTGGAGTGATCATAATCGTGCAGTTTCTGCCAGTTTCTGTCACATGGCCCGATTGGATCGAACCCACTTGGTCAGGGAAAGAAAGACAAACAAATAGATAAATAGATAGATAGATAGATAGACACAATGCGGCACATAACGCTACACGGTACAGCGCTGCATCAAATCACTGACGCGACCGAGTTTCAGTCCCATGTCCGATTCCTTCAGTTTGAGTCCTTCATAAAATCAGGGTCCAAAAAAACAGGGTGATGTGGATCAATCAATGACTGATCATGACTGATCTGTCATGACTGATCTGTTGTGTTTCATATGGATCAACACAACCGTTCTTTTGGGTTTTTTTGACCCCGCGACAAATGGAAGGAAGCCAAAACCGCGACAGTTCCGCACCTATCGTTCTTCGAAAAAAAAAAAATCTCGTCCAAATGCGTTCATGAAACATTCAGAGACATTTGAACATGGTTGATGTTCATCCGGCAGATTCATATCCTTGAATGTGTCAGATAGTATGTAGGGTGGAAAGTGGAAACTACCGTTGACATATAACCACTGGGTTCCCACTGGCTGAAATATGATCCTTTCTTATCCTCTGCCTTTTTGGGCCCCGAGGCATACAGCTCGTACGTGAGGAGCCGGTCCAGGAGCATCTTCTTCCGAAGCTCCTACTCATGGAGAAAACACACGAGCAAAAACGACCAAACATGACCAAACATATTCAGGACTGTTTGTTGAGGGTCCCCTAAAAATTACCCTAAATATCCGCCCAAAAAATATACTGTCCTATCAAAGCAGGAGGCAAATTGTTTCTTGGTACAAACATGTCACCTTTGGGGAGTAACTCCCACCTGCACTGAATGTAACGCCCCACACACAAGGATATAGCATACCCCCACAGTAAACACAGGTATCACTCCCTCATACTCGCGGTTGGCTGTCATTTCTGGGCTGCGTAAAGAAATGGATAGGGCCTGAAGGATCACCGAACGATCAACTCCAACGTCTCCCCCAGCTGGAGCCGTTTCGGCTAATCCTTCAAACACCGGTTTGCTGTGAGTGGTTTCGGCAAGAGCTGTGGCGAAGTCAACGGAGATTCACAGCAAACGAATAACCAAACAGAACCAAAAAGCATTGAGCTGTAAGAGTCTGCGAGTCCACAAACAGATGCTTAACATATCCAAAGCGATATAATCTATAACTATAATACATATATATATATCTTCGAATATCTTGGAAGGATCCCTGTGTTGGAGCGCAAGGAGTTCCAACAACTGGATCAGTGTACCAGCAGATCCTCAGTGTACCAGTTGATGAACCAAACTGGTGAGTTCGTTGTCTCTGTCCTGGCCTATACATCCAGGTGATCTTTAGCTCTCACCATCTCTCACCGTGTCTCACTGGCTGACTCTGTCCAATCATTCTGAACCTCCGGGAAACCAAATGAAATCCAATTCTTGGTGATCTCACTTATTTATTTACTGTACCTTGCTTTCACCCGCATCGACTCTGAAACTCAGAAAGTCAAGGTCTTGTAATTTGATGTACTGGCTTCATCTCGAGTCCTCTTGCTTCTTGCCATATATTGCTGACTGAGTCAGTGAAAAAGTGCTTTAAATGTTCAAAAACAGATCTAAATCCACTCCTCCTCTCCTTAGTTCAGTCTTCTCCCATGTCTCCAACCGTCCCAAAGGATTCCACCGCTTGTTCACTCGAAGCAAGGCTCGCTCGACGCTCACCCCACCCGCCCCCTCACTATCCTCACTCCTCGGGGAAGCGGCCGCCGATTTCCTCGGCCTTGTCGGAGAGCTGCACCTCCCAGCGGAGGCCCTGAGCTTTGCAGAGCTTCCTCGGTTTGTGGGTTCTGTGCAATTCTGTGCCGCCGAGCCTGGCCGAGCTCGGCTTGAGGGAACTCAGAAGAATCGAATTACTCCTCAAGATAGTCAACTAGACCTCCTTATCAAACTTCTTGCAAGTAAAGGCTGTAGCAAAGCAGAATGAGAAGTCATCCTCACATGAAGCCTCTCTATTACACTTCACGATGCGCTCGCCATGCAGGACAATTGGAATGTGTGAACCGTGCAGGTGCATGGAAGGCAATCCTCTCACACCTCCCAAGCAGTCGATTGCTCTTGGTTGACTTACCTCTACTCTCTGCTCAGAACAGCGCATAGCACTGCAAACCATCTCTGAGCACGTGGCACTCCCAAACTGCGGTCGATGACCACCTCGCCCTTCAACGGGCGCCGTGGTGGTCGACCGTCGGTCCTCTCCCGTTTCCCGAAACGTTTCAGGTGACCGACGGGGACCGTGCCAGGGGTCTCCAGCTGGCTGAAGTGCTGGGACTGCCACTCGGCGAACTTCACGAAGAGGTTCTCCGGCAACTGGACACCTGACGGAGCTGCTTTCAGGTCTACATGTCGTCGACGGAGTGGAGATTTCGTCATCTGAAACGGAGATGACGTACGGATTTGTCCAATGTCATACTTCTGTTTGACTCACATGAAATCAATCAGCTTCACAACGGTTTGGGCGTTCCGTTGCACGTTCTACGCAGTTGGTGTGGTGAAACCACACCGTTTGACCTGTTCGCCCCCGAACTCGCGAAGCAGCGATCCGAGAAGCCTTCGGCTGAAACAATGCCTTTCACCATGGAAGCTTCGAGCCTCATCCCGAACGACGGGGAGCCACAGGGGTCCAAACCGTCATAGGTGTCCAAAAATATGTGGCCGGGTGTCTCGACTCAAAATATGAACATGTTATATGTTATATATAGCTAGATTTAGCATGATTTAGCTAGCATGTCATTATGGGGAATGCAGTTGTGCATGACACAGGATCACACTTGCTCCTCTCTAGCTGGTTTATTGCGAGTATAGACGAGTCATTCTGGCATCCGGTTGCAATCTCTGCTTCTCATTGCGGGGATCGGAAGCTCTGTTGATCCCCGCAATCGTAGCATGCATGTAACATGCGCCACTGGGCCAAGGGGCACGAGGCTTTTTGCTGGTTCCTAACACACCAAAACTCACATCAAAAAGAACGCCTGAAAAATGCTGGTTGGCAATCAGTCCAAAGATCTTCGCACCAAATTCACTTGGCCCTCTTCTTACTCGGTGATTCTAAAAAGCCATCTTTAGGCCCGCAGCATGGCAGTCGCTCCATGACCCTATTTGCTGAGAAGCCCCTTGATGAACTTCGGAGTGAAAATTGCCTCGGCAAGGAACCTGCCTAGTCAAGAGCCTCAAAGGATGTATTTGAACAACTCGAACAACCTGAATTGACATGCCTATGCCACCTATTCCACCTGCCAAATCAAATCTTGCCAGCGAATCCAAAGCATCCAAAGCTCTCACTTTAGAAGGAATCAGACTTTCGAGTTCTACTATAGCATGCATGTTTGGAATGCCTGATTGCCTACTATATAGTGAGAAATATTATATCTACTTGGCATATAATCAATGTTACGCATAAAACCAATGTTACGGTCTGGCAAGCCCCAAACGCAACAAGCTTCTTGCATCACCAATGCAGCAATAGGTGCAGTAACCATCTCAGCCGATAAACATATGTTGAACCATCTTGAACAAGACACGACCCACATACTTGACGAAATGCGGTCGGAAGGATCCATCAAACTCAGTCAAGTTCATTGAATTGCACTACTTTCCTAATTATGCAGGTTAATGTCCTGGCTCCTGCGACACGATCTGACTCAAACATGGCGTTCTGAAGTGTTCTTCCAGTGCGCAAACTGCCAAACAGCACACTTGGAAGTCATGAGTTCCACCGCCCGGCGCAAGCCGCCCCAAAGCGCGCCGGCGAACAGATCTCGAACTCGGCGCCGAGGCGCTCGTTCCGCCCAGGAGGCCAACGTCCGATGCACCAGCGACAAATCCTTCACACCTGCGCACGGTCGCCGTTCGGTCGAACGACCGGCGGGAGCCGAAAAGAACGACCAGCGCAGCTCCGTGGGATGGAAGGCGAGGTTTATGGGTCATGGGAGGGGCTGTTCTCGTGAAGCGAAACGCGGTTGATTCTCTCGTGCACGGAAGGATACGGAGGGGCTGGTCAATTCTTGAGAACAACAGAGCTGATGTCACATACTTCCTGTCGGAGTGGTACGGCAGTTTTTTTTTACTGTATAGCCTTATAGCCAACATGAGTCAACAACTGACCGTGTCCAGCGAATCTATGCGAATCTATAGTAGTGGGCTTGCAACAAACCACTTCCAAAGCTTACTCGAGAAGGACTCCTGACACGGATCTACAAACCTTCCTTGAATCTCTACATGCAACATTCAGATTGTCAAGCTTCTACGCCCTCAAAAAAGCGCTCGAGGAGGCCCACACCTTTAAAGAGGTGGTGGAAATGCTCAAATGCCGCTGGCAAGTAGGTCTCAAACTCTCGCTTGTAGACCTGATCGTAGGCGCGTCAGCGACTGACCGCGATGAGCAACGAGCGCTTTGGCGACTGACTGGGCCAAACCAGTTGATCCAGAGGCACAAGAAACAAAGCACACTCAAGCCCTTAGCTGTGTCAAAAATACACGGCGGGGTTGTGCTAGTGCTACAATAGGCACTGCCCCGACAGCCTCGCAGCCAGTGGGTTTCAGATGGTGTTACCATAGTACGCTTTAGTCAATTGTCCCTTCTTATGAGGTTTATTGGAAGCTACTCCCATGGAGGCCAGCTCGACAAACTGGTGGAGGCCAGCTCGCAATTCTCTCGACTCACTAACATGGAAAACCCCCTGAGATGGTCCATCAGAAGGGATCAGTCACCTCCTACAATGTTTGCACCTCCTCCAAAATGAAGAAGACAACTATCAGGGAGTGGCTTCGATTCTTGTATGTCCTGACACGTTGCGCAAACATCTGGATCACCAGGCCCCTCCTGAAAGTAAAAAGACGCCGCAGCGCAGCAGCTCAGACTCGTGCAATCCTAGACACAAAGGCACCAGGCTTGTAGAGACTCCCAGCATTGTGCAAAATATCAGAGATCAAGCACAGTCGGAGGCACCTGCAGAATCATGATTTGAACCGGCCAGTGTCCTATTGCAAGGGTAAGACAAACACTGGCACCAATTGTGATAGCAAAAGAACACCCCCAAAAAACAACCTATGTTGAGTTGAGCAGTTTTGTATCCAAGGTCGCGGTCCCGTTGATGCGCGACATCGAATATATGTTGACAAACGTCAAGAAATTGGGAAGCTCCTTGATGACAAGAAACCAAACTGTACAAACAAAGAATCGAGATACCTTACTGAGCAACATGATTGCAAACAAGTTCAAGAGTGAAAGTATATAAATCCCTTCCTAAGATTCTCTGAGTTACAGAAAGGTCTACCCGCCGTACAGTGCCCGGCAAACCAATCTCACACCCCACCTGGAGAAAAAAAAACGAACCGCTTCGGAATTTGGACTGCACTGGCGCTCGCGGCGGCTTTTCGGCCTCTCATGTGCTGTGATCTTCTCATCTTCCAGACTCTCTAGTAGGTGTTTGGAGACATCGATGGCCATGTCATCGTTGTCCAAACACCAAACCTGGGCCGTTAAAGAGTCCAGCCGTGCTTGATGGTCCCACCCAGTGATTTCCACGTGACGTCCTGTGCGGTCAAGGAACCATACCCAGGTATTCAACCAGCGAAAATGAACAGATTCCTCTATAAGGGATGTCAACCTACCTTGGTTTGCTTGAGAGATGGCACAATCACCAAGTTTTTTTTTTTTTTTAATATGGAACCCCTATTCTTCAAGGACATGTTGTGCCATCTACTCTGAAACCACGACTCTGAAACATGATGCTACATGCTGGGTCACGACTCTGAATCGTCAAATCTGCAAGGCACTCGTTCAAGGGGATCTTTGACAAGGCACTCTGCCATTACACATAGACATGACAAGCGTGAAACTCTTGGATGCCATTTTGGGATAACCCTACAAACCATGGACTGCACCGCAAAAATGCTGTTTGTTCATGTGTTTTGTTCGTATGTTCCTCTCGGAAGTGTCCCTTCGACGCAAACCTTCGAAGCGGTGACCCACCGGCCACCGGTGTCCATTCTTCGAGCGGCCATCGCACGGCGGATGTCAGAAGCGTGCAACGACAAGTCCTGGAGACCGGCAGCGTGAAGGAACCTTCCATGTGTTGTTGTTTATTTGTTTGTTTGTCTTCCGTAATGATGTTGTTTGTTTATTTTGTGTTTGTTGAGATGTTTGCTTCTTGATTGAAATTGTTGTGATGGAGGCGGAAATCAAGAGTTGGGTTTCTCCAATTTGAGATTTCAAGATAAGAACCAATGCACAGAACATCAGCTAAAGAAAAAACAGCACTGGCTGCGGACCTGGTCATGCTCTGTTGATGGTACAGTATCACTTCAAGAAAACAACATCCGACATATACTTGGCAACCACATGTCCAGCAGTCCAAGAATATGTACGGGTGTCCTAGGGTTTAAGCAAACATATGCAAACATATCATAGCATTGACTCGTGACAACCTGACAGAAAAGTAGTGTTGATTCATCCTGCACCAAATCCACAGGCAACAAAACTCATTTCTTTTGGGCTCCCAAATGCTCTCTCATGCCTATTACCTGCATTTACCTGCACTCTTCCATGAACAACTGGCGGACAACACAATGAAAATCACGGTTTTTATTTCTATAAGGTGCAATGTGACGCCTCATCTCTCTATATATATATATAAGTGTGTTATTCTATGTTCTGCCGTTATTCTACTACTAACCGCGCCTTCAACAGCTTCTCCAACTCGCGCACATCACGGCGCCGCAGCCGCTCCGTGCCCTGGCGCTTCCTGGAGGAGGCGCTCGGTGTGCGCTCGGTATCGTCCGTTGATTGAAAAAATGGCATTGAAACACGGGCATGAACACTTCACTTCTATTGAAATTAGATTGCAGGGTGGCATTCAATAGAGAAACATGTGTCTAAACTACCAACATTTACCAACAAAAAGTACATTAGACAATGTTCTTTAAGATGCAGGTCTTCTTTTTAAAAATCAAGGGATAATTAAGGGTGAAATGAACAAAGTGGGAGCACCAGTTTCAGAAGCAACTACGGACGCAAGCTGACATAACCTGACAGAGCAAAGCTCAAACCAAAGGCAGAATGTCAACAACTTCCGCTTGCCTTCCTCCTATTTTTTGGTCCTGTCATTTACAAGGTGTCGGTTCAGAACCTCTTGTTCAAATCCCAACAAATAGGATTTTGAATGTGCACTAAATTACTTAGGCAATCTACAAAGGTGTCTAATACTATCAACTCTGACTAGGCAGCCTGCAAACCATTTTTGCACCACAGCTCACTCAAGTGCTGTTGCCAACTTTGTCAACTAAAAATGCTGCCAACTTCAAGTTGGGGAGGGAAAGAAATCTGCTTGGACATGCTTGGGAGTGGTGCCTGCCATTGTCTCGCTGCTCATGATGCTCCCCATCTCCGTCCTGGTGGCAGAACGGCGATCCGTGGAATCACTTTGGCAATTGGGAAGATCAGATCCTGTTCGCATGTCCGTCCGCCGTCCGCCTCTTTACCTGGTCTTTATCTGGAGTCCAACATTGGGTCTTGGCCCTCCACAAATCCAGCAGAGGTCACATTAAGACAGCAACAACCAAAGAAACTGCTAACATATGAACGATCCCATAAGGATTATATAATCCAGAAGGTTTCAAGCAAAATGATGTTTTAACGACTGGTTAAACAAACAAAAACAGTCTACCTCGAACCTCCTCACGGTGACTAACACAGTCAATTTGCGACTTCCAGAGAGGTCACAGCCCTTTCCCTCTGTTCCTCTCCTTCACCGAGTTCCGGAAGCCTCAGCTGTGCTGTGCCAGATCCACCGGGGCCACAGCTCGGTCCGTCTCGGGTTCCCTCCCGTCGGTCTCCCGTCCCGGTGCGTCGGTGCGTCGGTGTGTCGACGAAACGAACGAGGTGGTCAGGTGGCAAGAGACGACGGGTCCAGGCGGCAAAGACCTTGGAGTAGTCCGCATGCTTCACCTGGACCCAAAAACGAGTCGAATAGGGCAGAACAGGATGGAGCATTTTCTGAGAGCAAGGTTCGTGCGGGCTGGGTTTGGTTTGTTGAATCATACTTGACCTAGATGGATGCCAAACTGGAGGTTACAGTAATGTATCTAGTTAACATTAGTTAACTATGCCAGTCCCGATGGATGGTCGATGGTTCCGCTATGTTCCACACCTGGAGGAAATACCCAATCCGAGTCTTGATGCGTCTGGCGGTGCGCAGCAGAACGGACAAAAACAACTTTTTGGAGGGCTTTTTTGGTCACTCGTAGCCGTGCTTCTTCTACAATGTGGAAATGTCCAATGTGGAAATCATCCATGTGTCTTCCACGTCCTCGTCCTCATAAACAGTGTACGCAAACTTTTGCAACCCTTCAGGAATATCCATTTCCACTGCTTCAGATCTCGGGCCCGTAACCTCCAAACACAGAAAGCTGCTTGGCCAATTCGCTCTCTTCAGAGCCCAAGACCAACAAGAAATGCGGTGAAGGTTGCTGGGCCAAGCCACTCCTTCCATGCTCTGGTTGAACTCATAGCCAAAGGAAAGACTTTGAAGGCCGCTGGGCCAAGCCACTCCTTCCAGGCTCTGGTTGAACTCGTCACCAAAGGAAAGATTTTGAAGGCCGCTGGGCCAAGCCACTCCTTCCAGGCTCTGGTTGAACTTAAAACCAAAGGAAAGACTTTGAAGGCCGCTGGGCCAAGCCACTCCTTCCAGGCTCTGGTCGAACTTTTTACCCAAGGAAAGATTTTGAAGGCCGCTGGGCCAAGCCACTCCTTCCAGGCTCTGGTCGAACTCAAAACCAAAGGAAAGACTTTGAAGGCCGCTGGGCCAAGCCACTCCTTCCAGGCTCTGGTCGAACTTAAAACCAAAGGAAAGACTTTGAAGGCCGCTGGGCCAAGCCACTCCTTCCAGGCTCTGGTTGAACTCATAGCCAAAGGAAAGACTTTGAAGGCCGCTGGGCCAAGCCACTCCTTCCAGGCTCTGGTTGAACTTAAAACCAAAGGAAAGACTTTGAAGGCCGCTGGGCCAAGCCACTCCTTCCAGGCTCTGGTTGAACTCGTCACCAAAGGAAAGACTTTGAAGGCCGCTGGGCCAAGCCACTCCTTCCATGCTCTGGTTGAACTCATAGCCAAAGGAAAGACTTTGAAGGCCGCTGGGCCAAGCCACTCCTTCCAGGCTCTGGTTGAACTGAGAGCCAAAGGAAAGACTTTGAAGGCCGCTGGGCCAAACCACTCCCTGCAAACTCTGGTTGAACTCGTCGCCAAAGGCAAGGTCTTTGAGGGTGACAAGGTTCTTTAGCTGAGCTAGCTTTCTCAGCCCTCGTAGCTGCAGTATCCCCTCGAGGGCTATCGACTCATCGTCGACAGGGCGTTCTTGGAAACATCTCCAAGCCTCCTGCAGGTTAGTCACCTCATAGGCGTAGGACAAAGAAGTTGGTTTCTCTTGCACCAGCCCTTCTTGGGCCAGAGTCTTCGATAATGAAAGCTTCTGAGAGCCTTTCATCACCACAACTCTTGCTCCAGCTTTCAGCGGAAGTCGATCCCGGATGATATTTCGAAGCTCAGAGGCAGTCAAGGACTTGGGCACTCGGACCTTGAACCCATCTCCACTCACGCCCACCACTGCAATTTCCAATTCTTCAGCCCCAAGCTGCCGCGATTCGCTTGGGGGTATGGCGTAACCGGAACTCTCTTCAAGGGCTGTCATCAACAGCCGTTGCCCATGGCCCCTCACCAGCAGTCAAGGACAAGAAAGCACTTCTACGACTCTACGAATTCTAGCTCTAGCTTGAAGATTTTTGAATGAGCAAGGCACCATTCCATATCCACAGTTGTTTGATGTTCTTGATAGAACTGTCACCTCTTGTTTCTTCATTTTGGTCTTGCAAAAAGGCAACATGTCTTGAGGTTGCGGATACTGGACAGGTAAGTCTTTGGGTCATGCAAAGGTTGAAGGCTATGTCTCAAATCAATCCAAAGCATGTCAACTGGTCAAGCCATGTAGCCCCCCCCCCCCACAACTCCCGCGTCCCAACATATGCCCGGGCCCAGGTGAGAATCTGTTCGATGAACATCTTTGTGAGATGACATGTGGGCGGTTTATCCAATATCAGAATGATCAGAAGGATCCAATCATGGGAGATTGTGGAGGGAATCCTGTTTGAGGGACTTGAATTTAGGGTGGCCGATTTGGTCCACTCCGACCTTTGCTTGCTTCAACCAAAGACTTCTCCAGATTGCTACGGACATGAACATGCAGCATGTTCAAGGGATTCTTTGAAGGCCAGGTCTAGGGGATTGCTTCTGTTTGGTTCGCATCAAGATTGTTTGGTTCACAGCCCGAAGCAAACGAATGAGAGGGGTCGGCTCCCGACCGGTCGGCAGTTCGTCCTACGGCTACCGGTGGCTGGCCGCGCCGTAAGACCCACGTGCCCAACTACACCACCGGGAGAACGTTCGACACCCGGCGGCCTCCGTGTAAGGATTGAACTTCAGCATCGCCTCCGACCGATGGCGGGTCTCTCCGGCAGAACGAGAGCCGGAGAGCCGGAGAGCCGGGCCCAAGCAGGGTGGGAACAAAGCGACACACATGCATTGTAACACAGCTTCGATGTTCATTGACGCCATGCAAATCCAGGGTGGGTGGGAACAAAGCAAAACATTGTAACACACACACACATTGCATTGCATTGTAACACGGCTTCGATGTTGGACGTGCTCCAACTGCAAGTTCATTTTTTGCCAGGCACCATCCCCAACTGTCGCTGGTGGGCTCGTACGACGTGCACTCCACCGTGGACGACCCGAACCCACACGCGAAACGTCGCACGAACCTTCCGCCCAAGCTCAGCTCTAAGCCCTATAGGGATCCAGTCATACCTTATACCTCAGGTAGGGTGATTGGAGGCACTGTTATGTGGTTTGGAAGGTCCAGTCCAGTCGTACCTTCTCCCGAGGTTCGGTCCGACTGGACTCCCTATCACCGTCGGTCGGACCAGTGCCACTGAGATGACCGGTAAGCGGTTGGTCACCGAAACCGGACATCGAGTCTGACGGGGGACACCCATCTCGTACCGAACCTGGGGTTCGACACGAACACGGACGCGGTACAGACGTGGCACCGGCCAATAGTGTCTGTGAAGGAACGACTGGAGTCACTGGATCCCTAGGGCCCTTAGTCAACTTCGTTCCAACTGCTTCAATCTGACCCTGCCGGGCTCAATTAACTTAGTCCATCGCAGTCTGTGTCTGGCAACACCTGCGGCGCCACGGCGCCGCGCCTGCTCGCGCTGCTCGTAGGGCAGCTCCCGCAGCAGTAGCCGTGCTGGGCGATCCAGTTGCCACTTGGCGCAGAAGTCGTCTTCATGGCGCCTGGCACCGTCCAGCCGGTCCCCGACCCGCAGACCCTGCTCGCCGTCTGGGGCGACGGAAACGGCAGATCCGCACCTCGAGACATGACAGTGAGGTGCCCTTCTACAGCGGGTTCAGGTGACAGGGGCTGGAACGCTCGGGGGTGAATGGCTTAGTGGGTGACTGACTGGCTTTTGTCGGCTTGAGACTGTTCCAAATGGTTGACCACCTGCTAGCTATAGTACTCCAGCAAGAAAAGCTGTGCTTACTGCCACGTTCGTCTTTTTGCTGGTAGCTTGTGTCTCCTCAGCTTGGTAAGATCATGTAACAACCCTCAAAGGGCCCATCTCTCAACAAAAACAACATGCAAGAGATGGCCGAAAAAAACGAAAAAAATAAAAGATCTGAAAACCCACTGCTCCTCCGCGTTTCCGCCCCAAAACAACGCTAGTTGGTGTCTTCACACCCCCCAACCAACGGACCCGACGCACGCTCCGACGCTCCGACGCTCCGAACGGCTCCGGGTCCGGCTCCGGGTCCGAAACGGCCTGTAGGAGGGCGACAGCGGCGAGCGGGAGCGGGACGAACTGGAGGAGTCCGACTCATCGCCTGAGGCCGGTGCCGCCGTGGGCGTCAGCACGGGTCCACGGCTTGGCGGGACCGATCGGGTCCTGGGAAAGAGAAAGGTAGAAGCGGGTAGATCATGTAGGATGTAGGGAATATGTAGGGGGTTGATTCTAGAGTTTGTTTCTGGTGGGGATCTAGGGTGCACTGAAAACGTTCTACAGTACCTGTTCGTGTTCTTCGTGGGGGTTCAACAATATCCGAAAAGGGTTGAAGGTTATCCACTGATTGGGTAGGTAATGTCCACATGTTGCTTGTCAATACCTTTAGTGGAGAGGAAATAACATGATTTGGTGAAATGGTGCTGGTGTATGTGCCTTGGTTTCTGGTGCTGTTCCCTTTTCTCTCCTCCAGAAATTTACTACAAATATGGTGTGCTCCACCAGCATGATCCTCTTTTCGGTAGCATGCAAAAAAAAGAACATGCCTCAACACTCATCTTATTCCGAGTGGAGGCCCAGGCAGGGCAGACTGCTGTCATCTGAGCTCTGCCATCTGGGCGCGTGCTTTCTTTTGACTCCATGCAATTAATGTAGACTCTTGAGTAATAAACCCTCTATCAAAAGGTCTTACAATCCAAATAGCTTGCAGACCAAACCGCTGCTGACAAAAAAGGAACAACAACCAATCGGTTGAACATTCTTCAATAGTGAGGAGCTCAGTCATCTGGAGCAAAGTTAATACCGTTGAAGGAAGAAACCTGCACCACGTGAGTTGGAGGATACCCCACCTATTTGTTTGTGTATAGAACTTTCCCAAATGATACAGGATCCAGGATACAGACTCTCAGCCAGTTTTGGTTTCAGGTCACTTCAAAATATAAATTTCCTGAATTTTTTGGATCCTAAGTCAGTTGGAAACACCAAACTTTTTTGGGGTCTCCGAATTAGAATACACATCTTTCTGGACTCTCCGGCATTCTGTTCGAGAACGATTTGGAGACGAGACGAGAGGGGCCGAGACCGCACGATGTTCCGGTGCGCCTCGCGCTGGTCGTGGAGGCGGGTGCCAAACCATGCCCTTCCTGAGCCGGGAGATGGTGAGCTCTTCAGTTCATGGATCGATCACGTTCACTGCCGAAAACAAGAACTCATCCGGATAGCCACCCAAAGTCGGCCACATGGACTGACAGGTTGGGTTCATTTCCAGTCAGTTGCGGAATGATTTGATCCTCCTACTTAAAAGCAGGTACAGGATGAGCCCTCTCCCCACCCTGGGCCTACTAAGTGATGCTTTTCCACTTCTAAATAGCAAGGTGGGGTGTGAAGGTCTGTGGATTTGGGGGGCAAAAATTCCCAGAAGGAGTTCGACAGTCGGCTGAGTCGACAGTCGACACCAAGAAACAAAACCATCGATGTGAAGGGAAGGAACGGGCCAGCCGCCAGCAGGTCTTGTGGGGGCAGTCAGTGCATTTGACATCAAACACGACTAATTAAGGACCATCTTCTATGGGTGTGGACATGATTGTCAACGGATGAGACGTTAGATTGAGGCGTTCAGCGAACACACTGTTCAACTTGAGGTCTTCCAAGATTTCCGGGAAACAGAGCCCACAGCAGTCGTACAGCTCGTCAAGGCCCAAGTGGCATGGTAGACCCAGATTTGGTGATCCGCAACCTATGCAGAAAATGAAGTGCGTGGGTTTGCTGTTCCCAAGCGCTCTTTGGATTCCTCTAAGGGGGTTCACGATGCCTTTCGGGCAACCTGAAAAAAAAACAAAAAAAAACTACTGGACACTCGATCTTCAGATGCTGCCAGGGCTCGTACACATCCTGGGAAGCGATTCGATGCAACATGACTGCGGCAATGAGTCAACAACTGCGTGAGTAGTCCAATGATTTTCCACTCCTGATGTCCACTCCTCCTGATGTCCACGTGGGTAGGAAAATGGGACTGAACCCGGAATGGTGCCTGGGCGGTGTTTTCTCGTTAAGCCAAGAGACTGGAAAGGCTCCATCCTCCAGTGGTGTCGGGTGTCGCCCTGCACGAAGGAGAACGTTCGCCTCGAGGCTGCCCCGGAAAACCGCAGGCTGCCGCTGAGGTCTAGGATGGGAAGAGCAGGCTTACCCAGGAACTAGTCCCAATCAAATAAAAGGGTGATGAATCACCGATGTCCAAGTTCTGACAATTGACAATTGAGATTCTCAACATCAAATCTGCTTGGGTGTAACAGCGAACATTCACTTTATATAATTGGTTGGAAATCTAAAGGAGACCTCGGAACAAATCCAAAGGAGACCTCCTCAGCAAAAAGCATATATGTGAAAGTGGGTCAACATCCGATTGTGAGGAAGGAAATGCAGACATGCACTGCACCAAGTTCCATGGTCTAAGTTTCATCAAACAGGGTCTGAGCTACGCCATCTAGTATCAAATCGTTCAATGAACATGCAGAAACGCTTCTAGGGGTTCTAGTGCCGTGCAGGGGGACTTGAGAGAGGAGGGGGTGAACGAAAGGTAGCAGGCAATCACAAGTAACCCTGGTAGAAGTCCATGACGGCGTGAACCGGCGCAGGGTGGATTTGATCCAGGGGGGGCCCCCCCCCCCGACGAACAGAAAAGAATCAACTCTTACAGGACCAAACTCAATGCACAATCCCAACTCCCGATTGTAATACATTTTTGCTAAAGCAAGGAGAACTCAGGTAGCTCAAGCTACCTTTCGTGATCTCTGCATGAATCCTACTCCGAGCAATGCATAGAAAGGAAACACGCACTTTGATGGATGTTATATGTATCTCCACCAACAGGTAATGATAAGGGCCTTTGTAGTCCCTCCTCTCGAGAACATCAGCTGAGCATCTAACTAAGATC